CGGAGAACGACCAACGAACCACTGAACCCATAGGGAATTTCCAGGATCTCCAGGGGAAGTAACCCAATAGGAAGCGAAAGTAGTGGGATGTTACACTGGATCTATATAAATGTATAGGCTCTCAAAATAGAGAGAGAATAGCAAGTCAACACATCCAGGCTTTGCTGCTGCCAAAAGTGAGCTCAGCAGGCTGACTGCAGCTGGTGACCCCAGTGTGCCCCACCAGCCAAATATTACACCTACCCTGAGGAAAGTCAGGAAGCCTAAGACTATTGAGTCACCCAGGGCAAGGCCCACCACAAGCAAGAAGGACTTCTAAGGGAATGATCCCCAAACACTCTAGGGTGAAGACACTCCACTCCTTGAGTGCTGCAGCACTGAACGAGTGCACAGGGAAGACGGCCCTGTGCCATCTTCCACCAACAAACCACAGTTGGTTCACAGACAAGCCTGCAGACTCAAGAACTCTGCAAAATATGTAAACAAACAATTGAAAACTAATGAAACTAGCACCAGCTCATTCGCCCTACCTCCCGCACTCATTTGGGGGAGGCAAGAGGCAGCCTAAGGTCAGCTGGCTGTTCCACCCTCAGTTCTATGATGATGAAAACACCCCAGACAAGCTAGAGAGGGAGAGAGGGTGTCAGGGAGACACTGGAACTCGCACAGAAATTGCTGTTTCATTACATTCAATGCTGGTTTTATGGGGAAGAAATCCTTATGACTCCCTGAAGCTAACTACCCACAGAGGAGGAACAAAGGGGCACTTACCAGAGAGAATGGAGCACTGCAGGTATTATGATGATGTCAAGACTCGGCCGCAACATGTGATCTAAAGTCACTCGAGGGCACTGGGGACCGGGCACACTGACAAGATACCAGGCCACCAGAACCCTGATGGACACCTACAACCCCTGCCCCTGAATATCAGACCAGGACATACTCACAAAGACAGTAGAAAGAGAACAAAATGACACTAAGGACAAGTGTCTCAACATGTGTGGAGCCAGATTTAATGCAAACGGGAGAATTTCAAAATGTTAAGCCATCCGTCCCACAACAACACTTGGCTAATCCTGATTGGCCAGGGTTTGTTGTGGGAACGTATTAAACATCCCTATACAACCTCAGATGTGTAGGGATGTTTAATATGTGACCTGGAGGTCCAGAGAAAACACCAAAGTTTCTGACTCTAGTATGAGATGGACCTGAGACAGAACGGTCACCTGAATTAAGGGGAAAGGGGATGAAATGATTCGGCTGTGAAAGGTTGAGGAAGAACCGAGGGTCTGGTATGCCCCATTTCAGGACCAGGAATAAAGCAGGACACTCATCGAAGTGATGCTGCCAATTCATCCACACCAAAAACTACCTACTCTGAGATGACCCAACACAGGCAAGGAGAGGAAGCCTACCCAGAAAGACCTGAAGCCCTGAAAGAGGAAGGAACTGACCAACTCCACCAAAGGCCATTGGAAATGATCCGAAAAGCCACAAAACAGGGGATCAAGAGTCGGTGACTCGGATGAGCTCCCCCCCCCCCCCAATGCTCCATAAAAAGGGATGAACCACAAGTGGCTGATGCCTTCTGAGCAGAGCAAGCACAGTGCTAACCACATGGATAAGGGCCATCCAAGGATAGTACATGCAACCCGGCATCTGGCTCCGTAGATGGCCTACCCGACCCACAGCAGGCAATGCCCCGTCTCTACCTGACTGCCTTCAAGAATGAGAAAAATCCCCCCCAAGAATGAAGGGGGGCTTGAAATGGGCCTACAAGTTGCAGCCACAGAGGAGAAAAACTGCGACAGAACCTCCCCAGGAAAGAGAGAAGGGGAAGGCAGACGAGAGCCAGGGGCCCACGTTGAAACCAAAGACTGGGCCAATACCACCAGGCACAACACAAGGCGAGCAGCCACTGGAGGCACCTGGGCATGGAGCTGCACAAGACCCACTTCCAGAGAAAGAACAGAGCAAACAGGTAGCCACCATGGGGCACAAAAGAGAGGGGGGGGGGATGGCCCCTGGTGTCAACCAACAAATAAAACAAAAAATGTGCACTAGCTTTGAAGATTCTGGAACCTCAAAATGCTTCCAAGATGAGAGGAAGACCCAAATACACAAAAAAAGGAAGGGTCCATCAAAGAGATAAAATCTGGATCTCATAGGAGGCACATAAAGAAAGACCCTCCCAAGCCACCAAGAGAAGGAAACCTCCAGCAGGATGATCCCAACAGACCCAGAGGCAAATGGCACCAAACCTCAGGGGAAGCCGCATTGGAATAAACACATACACGTAGGAACAATACAAACCCCCCTCCTCCCCAGCAACAAGAGGAACCCCCCCTCCTCCACCCCCCTTCAACAGAGGGTACCCCCTATGTACGGAACAAGGAACCACCAGGAGTCGAAAAGACCCTCGGACCCACATCAGACTCTCACCAAGCACTGGAAATAACACTCGAGGGCCCCGAGGATTAACCAGCATCCAGACCCACTGCCTGGGATAGAAAAATAGTCCCGGGAAAAGGCTTCAAAAGAAGAGGCTGGCTGGAAGAAAAATCCTGAAGCCCGGCAGGATTAGCTGACTCAAGTGCCTTTATGCCTGAATTAGAATAGGCAACCCCCAGAGCTGGCCAAGCCACAGCCAAAGCTAAACCCAGTCCCAACCTCTAAACCCATGGATGTATCGGGACCAGAAGCAGGGAGGGGAAGACCCAAGAAAGGGCAAACCACACCTGAAGGGGAAGGAAGAGGAGGTGTAGATAGAACCAAAGCGGAAATCACAACACCCACCCCATTCCGTGATCCTAAACAACAGTCGGGGCAGCTCTAGGGCAACCAATTGGGCATATACCTGAAGCGCTGGAGAAGAGCGTAGCAGAAGCTGCCCAAAACACCCGAATGGCATCAGTGGGGTTAGATAAAGCCCCATGGGGGTGCAACCTCCACAGGACTCAGGGCCGAAGGTGTCACTGACCTCACAGGCAGCATAGCATAGGCAGAACACGTGAACTTCGACCCGGGATTTCCAGGGCTTGAAGTGTTAAGCCAAGCAGGACACCGCTTTGCTTTGCTTTGATTGCAGGGATCGCTTTGCCAGATCAAAAAGTGAGCCAACACAGCCTGGTTTATACAGCTGCAAAGGCCAACCTCGGCGTGCTAAAAGAAGTGCACGAACCATCAATGCGCACTGCCAGCTAAAGTCTGGCAATGCAAGGGAAGCACTAGGGAGCACCCAGGGAAGGAAACCCAGAGGAAGCACCCAGGGAAGCTCTAAGCACACTTTAAAGCTTGGCTCATGCTACATCACAGTATAGAGGAAAAAGCCACTAAAGGCAAACACCATACCACTAAGAACAACAGGCAGAACACCAGAGCCAGCATGGAAGACAGGCGACCTGGTACGCACTACATCAGCGATAAAATTGACAGCTCAGACTTTGGCAGGTGGTGAGCTACTCCCCCCCCCCCCAAATCGACTTGGGAAGAAGGGGCAAACAAGCTCACACTAGTTCTGAGAGAATTCAATTATTACTTAATTAATATAGTTGGGGGAGTTCTTTAGGTGGGTTTCGAGGCTTCGGTCTCTTTTGAATTCAGTAGTGGTTTGTTTTGACTTGATGACTTTCTGATTGCCTTCTCTGGTGAGATGGTGAAAAAAATTGTCAACCTCAATACAGAGATTGACAGAGCCCGGGTGCACGGGGGAATTGTGTAAAACCCCAGTTTCTCTCTCAGAGGCTGCGGAATCCATGTGAGGGCAGTAGCACTCCCGGTTGCAATTCTTTTCCATGTCGTGGCGCAGTCGACTAAGGCGCGTCTGGGATCATCCCGGACGAAGGTTCGAACCCTCATCACGGCCCTTCTGGATTAGTTCATTTGATGTATAACGCTATTGTGATTTCCATGTGTATTAAACCCTACTATTCTTAAACCATTTTTTTCCAAAGCAAAATAGACTCCATAGGTAGGGGATCAGCTGGCCCCACTCACTGTTACTAGTGTCTTTCTATCTTTTCACTGTCAACTGTCTACTTTCTCTTCTCACATTTTCCTATCTACTTTTTCTAATACCATTGTCCTATCTACTTTCTCTTCTTGCATGCCTGAACTTTCTGATGGTACTCCATACACTTTTCACAGTGAATATTTCCTAAGTAATAGTGCCAATTTGACTTTTCTTCAATAGCTGAACCACCATACACAATAATTGGACAAAAGCTTCTGCTGCTACTTAACATCATTCAATACGTAAGGGGAAAATTCTACATGTGGCCATCCTTCAATGTTGACAAGTTCCCAGAGGGAACAAAGACAGGTAAATGATGGACACTGAATATATAACATCGTTCATGCATTCAATAAATGCAAGAAATATACATATTATAAATAAACATGATCTGTGCCAACAAAAACAGACCCATTTGTTTTTATGCAAACATAACAGCGAGGTGAGCTAAATTATTAAGTCACATTTTTGGAACACTCATAGTATTCAATTTCAATCACAAGACTCAAAATTGGTTAATCTCTTCTGACTGATACCTTAAATGATCCTTTAGTAGAGCAGATTATGTGAGCATAGGGGGAGGGTTCTCAGGGAGGGAGGGGGGGGGGGGGAAGAGGCAGAGTCAAGTGTCCTACTCTCGTGACAACAGTGATGCATATGACAAGGGAACGGGGCAGATGTCATCTAATGAAATAATTACTGCAGAAAATATAGCAAGATAATGCAAACAGTAACACATGAGAGAGTCCAATGAGTGTGTAACTACACAACTTAGGGGCCAGAAGAATAGAAAAACAACTAAATTTAAATCATATTCTAGAGAAGTAAAACTTTGAAACAAGCAAAGATATGAAAAATTTACTCTAAAAACAAATAGTACTTTAAAAGAAATAATTCATCTATAACATTAAGCAGTAGCAATATGAATAGAATATTCTTTTACAGAAACATTAATATATAAATACAAAAATAAAGGATTAAGGCTTACCATCTGGGTTTTTATCCAAGGGCTCAGTCTTAAGCTGGCTGGTAGTGGGTTGACTGACAATGATAGAGGGTTTAGTGGAGGGTGCCAAGGACTGTAAGGAAGACGACGGGCTCGGCTCAACACATGCCACAGATGTAGTGACATTCGACAAAGGTGGAGTCATAATGGAAGAGGAATTAGAGGAGGATGGAGGGCCCTCACAGTAGTGTTGTTTCTTTGGTGGAATTACCACAGTTACTGGGGGTGGAGACCGCATTTTGCGCTTTAATCGATCATCTTCGGTAGGCCGAGCCTCAACAGGCTCCTCCTTCACCTGGGAAAACATCACATTTGCCAATAACAAATTTTGTCTTCAATGTGATACCCAATCTCACAAAAATATTTATAAACCCTACTTGTACACTTAGTAATGAACATGGGAGCACAGAATAAACTAACTACACTTATTTCAGCATGACCCCATTTCCCCCAAACTCTCGATTATATTTTCACTCCTTACTCTACCCATTCTCCTAATGCCACTTATGCTTTTCAGGTTGTCTTTTACATCTGTTAATATGCATGACACATTCTGCTAATATAACTGAACATATATTAAGTGCTAACCTTAGCCTGAAGATGAGGTCTGCTGATGAAACGAGCATGCAATGTTGCGGCAAGACCTTCAACAGGGCCATCAACTGGCAACCCTCTTGTTTCATTACAGTGGTGAACAACAGGTGATACCTCTGTTCTCAGCAATGGTACAGTACGATTTTTACTAGCATCACCTACTGTTGCAGGCCCTGTTGGAGTTAGGGGTGGAGTGGCTTGGGAGGTGGGTGGGGTGGATGGGGTACACTTATTGCCATACATGGAAGCAAGCCGTGCCTCTAAACCATCTCTTCCTGGTGATGGTACTGGTGGAGGCATGTGTGGCTTTTCGTCATACTGAGGACCTCTTGGGGATTTTACCCTTGGGTACATAAGACCTTCTATCGACTGTGGAGTATGTGGTGTGGGAGGGAGCGACTCTGTGCTATTAGGCCGAGAGATTGGGGAATAGACCATTCTGAGTGCTGGTGACTGTTGGCGCCCATCACCGCTGTCGGGAGTGTGAGGCTTGCCGTAACTCTCTTCCACTATTCTTGATATCCGGGAATTGGGACGCGGAGATATAGACTTTCCCGAGATAGTCATATCAACAGCTGCATTGATGATAGATTGAGAAGAGATCTCTAAAGTGCGCTCCACTTCACCACTTATAAGATCTCCCACATTTCTCGTGATGGTCGGAGTTCTATGGGCACCTGGAAAATATTCCAGAGCAAGTTTCTCTTGAGAGAGATGACGTCTTAGGGCTAATTTGGCTGGCGATACTTGTGTGTAATCGGGCTGACCTATTTTTGACTCTCTTAATTCCCGTAACTCCCGGATTTCTCCTCTTCTTTCACGATTATCCCGCTTATAGTCAGAGCGATTAGTTGCTCCGGGTGACGGATATGAGGAGTGATTTTGTAGTGGGATAGGGGACGGTCTAGGAGGCACTGCTTGTGCTAGAGGTCTGTCCTCATTTAGAACATTAGTAATAATCAATTTTAGGCGATCTTCAAAATCTGCCACTCTGGGAGGTTCATGAGCACGTATCATGGAGAAAGGTCTTTGGTTCTTCTCGGAAGGCAGTCGAGCTGATGGAGGCTGATATTTGGTCTCTGGTTGTTGGGACAACTCAGTCTTAGTAGGCAGTATATTGCCAGACATATACCTCTGAGCTAGAACAACTACCCGGCCAGGCTCTTGGCTCATTTGCGAGGGTTGGGATCGTGTATCACATTGTCGGTTTTCTACAAGGTGTTGTCCACGCATATTTTCCACATTAACAGGTATACGTCCTTCGTGCACTCTAACTTCTGTCCCGGCAGGTAATGCAGGGATACGACCCGCTTCAATTTGTCTCCCAGTTTCTAAAATCTTTTGAGCCAAGATCTCTGGATTTTTCTCTTCAATTTTTCCCACATCAGGTATATTTGGCCATTCTTGATTACGACTTCGGTGTCTGGTTTTATGTCTACCCGGAGACTTGTCTGCACGCTGAGCAGCACTTGTGGTGCGGGCACTATCAGGAGCAGTACTCTCCAAGTTGTTAACTTCGGATTCCAACCTCGACACTTGAGAATGAAGTTTCTTCCGCTGCGATAAAGTTTGAGATATTTCCCGCAAGATGAACTCTTGAGTCAAGTGAGACACATCTACACTCTGAAAATAAATACACAACATATATTACATTTTTTTATATAAATAAATTAATAAATAATAAATTTCCAAGACACTAAATGAACTTAACCTGAATAAGGGAATAAATTAAATACTATGACATCAAATGAACAAATCCACAAGGGCCGTGACGAGGATTCAAACCTGCGAACGTCACGGTCCTTGTGGATTTGTTCATTTGATGCATCACATTAGTGTGATCTGTGTGTTACTATGACATCAGAATGTTCTAGCCCAAAACCATAAATGTGTAACATTACATTTTCCCTTCATTTTAAAAGAATATCCATGCAACATTTATTATTTCTATTCTTCTCTGCTGACCAAATAAGTAATTATCAAAAGAAGTTTTGTTGACCAAGCAATACAAATTTGTATCAATATGAAAATCAATAAGAGTACTGAAATACAAGAGGAAAAAAGACTTTAGTTTCAATCAAAACCTCCTGTCTGATGTAAGCTATTTATGAAGAAGTGATAAAAACAATTGTGAAGAACATACATTTTAACCGGAGAATGACAAGTGAATCACCATTGGATTATAGTCCAATTTACTAATAACAATATTTACAAAAAAAATCCTAAGCTTTTCACCTATAAGATAAAAAAAAAACTTTCAAATTATAAGTTACCAATAATAATCCAAGGGGAATATTTAGCTGGAAAAGCACTTTAGAAAAACTCTCCAAGCCATTAACTTGCCCACCTATGCTATAAATCTCCAATTTATATAGATGATAGATGAATCGTTTTCTGCGTTCAGTGATGATGCATCCGATACAAGTAGCATAGATGAACAGCGTTAGCGACTTCCATGGTGGTGTTTTCCATAGATATTTTCAACAATAGATGAATCTCTTCCAGACTGACCGACACTCTTTGAGGCTGGCTGAATCTCTTCCAGATTAACGGACACTTTTTGAGGGTAGCTGAATCTCTTCCTGTGTGACCTTACAAAGCGATCTTTTCAAGACTACCTTACAAATTGATCTTTTCCTATAATCTTTTCAATACTACCTTATGCTTTACAAGCTTGGCTACATACAACCTACAAGTACTGAGTACTAAAGCCAAGGGTGTACGTGAGTGCGTTATTTGTAAGCACACAGAACGAAGAAACTGTAAGCGAAAATCTATCTGTACCTGGTGCAATGAGAGCGAAGTCGCGCTGTGTACCATGGGCTACCTGGTTGATACCTCGTTGATGGGGTTCTGGGAGTTCTTCTACTCCCCAAGCCCAGCCAGAGGCCAGGCTTGACTTGTGAGAGTTTGGTCCACCAGGCAGTAGCTTGGAGCGGCCTGCAGGCCCACATACCCACCACAGCCCGGTTGGTTCGGCACTCCTTGGAGGAATAAATCTAGTTTCCTCTTGAAGATGTCCACGGTTGTTCCGGCAATATTTCTTATGCTTGCTGGGAGGGTGTTTAACAACCGTGGACCTCTGATGTTTATACAGTGTTCTCTGATTGTGCCTATGGTACCTCTGCTCTTCACTGGTTCTATTCTCCATTTTCTTCCATATCGTTCACTCCAGTACATTGTTATTTTACTGTGTAGAATTGGTACTTGGCCCTCCAGTATCTTCCAGGTGTATATTATTTTATATCTCTCTCGTCTTCTTTCTAGTGAGTACATTTGGAGGGCTTTGAGACGATCCCAATAATTTAGGTGCTTTATCGGGTCTATGCGTGCCGTATATGTTCTCTGTATTCCCTCTATTTCAGCGATCTCTCCTGCTCTGAAGGGGGAAGTGAGTACTGAGCAGTACTCAAGACGGGACAACACAAGTGACTTGAAGAGTACAACCATTGTGATGGGATCCCTGGATTTGAAAGTTCTCGTAATCCATCCTATCATTATTCTGGCTGTTGCAATATTTGCTTGGTTATGCTCCCTAAACGTTAGGTCGTCAGACATCATTATTCCCAAATCCTTTACATGCTGTTTTCCTACTATGGGGCTACTTCGTTGATTATTACTCGCTTCCGAAGTACTGAGTGTGTAATACAGTGTGTTACTGTGTAAATAGTGTATGAAACTGTACATATTGTAATTTTAGTGAATTTTTAACAAGTAATATTGCAACAATAAACATTTATTGTGAACACATTACTGACACATGAATCAGTTCCATGGAACATTATGAACGTTCTACTGTATACATATTGTAAAGGACACAAATATGCATCATATACAGTACAATAAAAAAACAAATAAAACCGCATTGGAAATACATAGAACAAATAATTGAAAATATATTTGTGGCAACACGCGTTGCTTGAATGGCCCGCCCGACCGTGTTTGGGAGCTTCAAGCACGGATGACCAGCCCCTGATGACATTACAGCGCCCCTTGTCCACGTCCCCACAGCCAAAGTAAGTGGAATTTGGTATTTATTTTTACATAGACATGTTCAGGGAAGGGAATTTATAATTTTACAAATAAATAAATTTTTTTCAGGAACACTTGATTTCATGTGCACGGGGAATTTCACAATAAACTCGGCACATCACAGTGGTTAAGCAAGTCAGCATCCTGTGCAGGCCCACATTACAAATGACTTTCATTATTTTAAACAATAAACCAGCGTTGAATGTAATGAAATGCCATTTTCTAGGCGAGACCCTTCAGCTCCCCAGAGCTAACCAGGCTGATATGAATATATTAAACTCTGGCATCAGTCAGTGAACATTGAGTTCTAGGCCTACAGGGACCATGAGCCAGAATCTGGCTCCCTCAGAGAGACACGAGGAGCAATGGCCTATAGAAACCCCAGTGTGGGTTGGAAGCATTCTCTGTCTGCCATCGACCGGGTCAGGCACCCAGAAAGGTAAGCGCCTCAAAACAAACCCCCCTGTTCTGGTTAAAATATTGATACTGAACACCGAACTAGTGGACAAAACTCCCCAAACGAAAACGAGCAAATGAGCATGACGTCACCATGTCACCGCGCCGCTGACTGTACAACCTCTCCCCTCCCCAGGAGGGGGGAGGGGAGCCTCATACCTCCAGCACAAGCTATCCATACCCCAGTTCTGAGGCTGGATGTAAAAGAGAAAAAAAAAAAAAAAGTCCGGAGGAAGGGAGGGTTGCCCCGCGGCCCGGTCCTCGACCATTCCTCCTGTTTGTTACACACCCCCAGGAAGCAGTCTGTAGCAGCTGTCTAACTCCCAGGTACCTATTTACTGCTAGGTAACAGAGGCATCAGGGTGAAAGAAACATCTTGCCCATTTGTCTCCGCCTCCACCAGGGATCGAACCCGGAATCCCAGGACTACGAATTCAAAGCGCTGTCCATTCAGCTGTCAGGCGCCCTGTAACATTATTGCCAACAGCATTTGGTGTACCCAGCCGGTCACCCATCCAAGTACTAACCAAACCCAACGTTGCTTAACTTCGCTGATCGGACAAGAAGCGGTGTTCTCAACGTGGTATGGCCGTTGGCCATACCACGTTGAGTCCCCGGGTCTCATCCAGAAAATGTTGTTTCATTACATTCAACGCTGGTTTTCTGGGGAAAGCCCCTTCGGGTCTCCGGAGCTACTTACCCAAGGACAAAACAAGAGAGACTTATGCAGGAGGTGGTCGGCCCTCACTCCTCAATGCGAAGTTGAGACAACTGGCTGCAACTGTCGACTCAATGCGACACAGGCCCTACTAGGCCCAGGAAAGTTGACAAGGTAGCGAGCAGCCAGGACCCTGTTCGACCTCCAAAAATCCTGTGCCCGAATGTCAGCCCAAGACATGTTACTGAAGACAGCAGCCAGCGCAGGAAATTTATGAATGTTGTGGGTACAAGGATACACTGTAGGCTGGTTGGACTGAATAACCCTGCAGACAACCTGGGAGATCCGACCCTAGAACAGGAAAGAAGGAAACTGGGTCAACCCAAAGCGCGTCCCCGGCCATCGATGCCGTAGAGCATAGTTAATAGCGGAGAGCCGCAACCAGACACTACACATGATGCACCCTCAGTCTGTCAGTCTGATCAACCAAGCAAACCGAGGCAAAGAGAGAAAGAGAACCTGGTCCAAAGACCAGGATGGCTCAGGTGGCACATGAGCAGGTCAGAGGTGAAACAACGCACGAGACAGCTTGTGGAATTGTGCAGAAATAACATCAACACCGAATGCAAGCAGCAGTGGCTCCACCAGCACTGCACGTTACGAGGCGACAGTATTCGGCATAAGATGACGTTCCTTGAACAACCATGAAAGAAAGGACAAAACAAACCTATCAGAGACAGAAGTAAGTCTACGAAGGGATAAGAAATAATGGAAGGACTTTCAACCTCCGTGTGACCCGGGAGCCCCCAAAAACAGGTGAAGGCGGGACTGCAGCAGAAGCAGAGTCTCCGGAGGGAGAGACATGGAAGTGGTCTGAGTCCCACACAGACCACTTCCTTGTCCAGCAAATGTGCACGATGTGGTGACGTCATGCACATTTGCTCATTTCATTTGGGGAGTTGTGTCCACTAGTTCGCCTTTCAGTAGCAATATTTTAACCAGAATAGGGGGTTTGTTTTGAAGCACTTACCTTTCTGGGGGCTTGATCCAGTTGATGGCAGACATAGAATGCTTCCAACTACACGAAGGTTTCTATAGGCCATTGCTCCTCGTGCCTCTCTGAGGGGGCCAGGTTCTGGCTCGTGGTCCCTGGTAGGCCGAGACCTCCATGTGCATTGACTGTTGCCAGGGTCTAATATATTCATATCAGCCAAGTTAGCTCCGGGGAGCCGAAGGGGCGACCCCCAGAAAATTTATCACAGTTTTTATTTTGTAATTCTTTATTCCATTGTGTACTTCTGTATCTACTACAGTATTACAGTGTACTATAATACTGTAGTAGTATACTGTACTGTAATACTGTAGTAGTATACAGTACTGTAATACTGTAGTTGTATTACAGTATTACAATACAGTATACTACTACAGTGTCAGAGTGTGTGTCTCTCAAGATTCTCCCACAGCTGACTAGAATGGCTCATTGCAGTGCACAGTGCACCGATCTTGTGCACAAGGTCCTATTTCTGTTAACCCTGGATAGTGACCTGGCATGTTGGGTATCTCCAGAATGCCCACTTAACCAGGAACACTTTTATAATACGGAGGCCGCCGTATGTCCAGGCAGGAAGTAGATACAGGGAGTTAAGCATACTTGCCACCAAGGGTCAGCGAGTACATTGGCCGGTGCGGACCTTGAGAAGAATAGAGGGGACGCCTACGAGGCGACAGTGTGGCCCTGAGGTCAACCTCAACCGGCGCGATGGAAAATAACAGCTATGACGTGGTTGTGACCTGTTCATGACGTCACCTCTCCTACTGATCATCGAATGGTCATTATGATTGGTTCCCGCTCATTTGCTGCAATGCTATTGGTCAAATGCTATTGGGCAATGCTATTGGTCAAATTGTACCTCTTTTGTGCTGTGTGCCCCGAGATGCCCGGCAGCCCTTGTAGATTATTCACGTGAGGGAGATCTTACCCAGAGGACGTGTTCTGTTCTGTCTACCGGCCAATAGACTGAACACCGTCAATTCCTCACCGTCAAGTTAACTCAGCATCTTAAAAATATACCCCACACTCGCCAAGATTCACGAGTGTAAATATATTGTTCAGAAGCCTATAGTGACAAATCTCCAGAGCAAAACAGACTGGTAACAGGTAACCCCAGGTGACAAAGATCGTTGTGAGTGACTTAGAGTGAACTAAGGCAGTGCTGCCGCCTAAGTAATCTGTGTGTGACTTTACCACAGTGTACCTGTACCACAGTGTACAGTGTAGTGCATGGTACCATATAACCTGCAGCCGCCAGCTGCCGCCGCCCTCACTGTACCACGTGACGTCACCACCTTACTCACCGCCAGTGCCAAGAGTGTGTGCGTGAGTCTGTACGCCCTACTGCGAGTACCCTCCGTGTCTACGAGCGAAACCAGCTATCAGGCCACCTACGAGTTCTTGCATAAATGTGTCCGAGTGAGTGAGTGAGTAAGGACAGGTACCTTATCTGTAAATACAAGATCTTGTCATTGTTTTATTGTGTCTGTGTTGATCTGAGGTATCAACCACAGTTCTCACCTTATACCTGTCACAGGTCATAGGAGAATCAACAGTGAATGCATGGTTATCTGTGTGGTATCACTGCATTTCACACGTCTGTGAATGTGAGATTCACATACACCACACATTTAGTTATTGTCTGTGATTATTATTGTGCATGTTATTGCCTGTCCCATTGACAGTGTAGTTGTGTTTATTGCATATCATCATTACCGAGTATCCGGTTGGAACTCGTGTGATCCCTTTGCATACCGGCAGTTAGGTTGCCGTGTTAATGATTGGCTGTCAACTGTGTTAAGGTAGGTGTTTCGCCACGAGTGGATACGAGTCGTTTAGCCAGACGTCAAGAGTTTCGCTAATACAACCATAGCCTTTCTGACGCCAATCTAAAGTAAATCAAGCACCCTTTGTATTAGTGGTTAAGTTAGTAAATAAACTACTGTTAAGCTTTATGCGGTGTTTCCGTTGAACCACTTCTGAATACTGCCAGTATTACTCAAGCCTTCAGTTCTAGGTGTCTTCAACACCGAGTTGCCTATATTCACTAAACTATAAATGTGATGAGGACCGCTAGGAGTCCCTTAAAGTGTTAAATCATTGAGGAGATTCCAACGATCAACATGGAGCAGGACCAGGTGAGACTAGTCTGAGAAGAGACCCTCAAGGACTCTAACTCGACCTTGCTCCCAGGCCCTGTACGGTTGCTCTTGTATTTTTTATTCTGCTAATTCCGACAGTTTCGTGAAGCGTCTGCCACATGTACATTGGCGACGTACGCATTGCAGTCGTGAAAGCAAAAAAGAAATCCCCCACATACAGTATTACAGTACAGTATACTACTACAGTATTACAGTACAGTATACTACTACAGTATTACAGTACAGTATACTACTATAGTATTACAGTACAGTATACTACTACAGTATTACAGTACAGTATACTACTACAGTATTACTGTATAGTATACTACTATGATATTACAGTACAGTATACTACTACAGTATTACAGTACAGTATACTACTATAGTATTACAGTACAGTATACTACTACAGTATTACAGTACAGTATACTACTACAGTATTACAGTACAGTATACTACTACAGTATTACAGTACAGTATACTACTACAGTATTACTATATAGTATACTACTACGGTATTACAGTACAGTATACTACTACAGTATTACAGTACAGTATACTACTACAGTATTACAGTACAGTATACTACTATAGTATTACTATACAGTATACTACTATAGTATTACTATACAGTATACTACTACAGTATTACAATACAGCATACTACTACAGTATTACAGTATACAACTACAGTATTACAGTACAGTATACTACTACAGTATTACAGTACAGTATACTACTACAGTATTACAATACAGCATACTACTACAGTATTACAGTATACTACTACAGTATTACAGTATACTACTACAGTACTACAATACAGTATACTACTACAGTACTACAATACAGTATACTACTACAGTACTACAGTAACCCTTGCCTCCTACTTGCAAAACCTGATCCCAATACACTTAGTCCTTCAATATATTTCACAACCTGCACCAAGAAGAACACATTAATTTAATAAAGTCTCTCCACGTACTCCATTAACGAGCCCATTTCTTCTGTACTTGTTGATGATCTCGTGTTGTCTCAGCCTCACCAACTTGTCCTGCTCTTCTTCTGCCGACGTTACCTGTTGCTGCAGCGAAGACACGTTGGCCTGAAGCTCCTTGTGTCTCCATACAATCTCCTGAAGCAAAAGTAACACTGTATTATCCTTTGGTTCTCTTTATTTATTATCAGATTTTGTTGTAGCCTCTACATCTTGTGGAATGCAGACCCGTCACTATGTTCGTGAAGGGTGAACGAAATTACTCAAGTTAATCAGTTACAGCTGGCAGAAATTGTGACTTATTGGTTTTTATTTTTTGACAAAAAATTTACAATTTCAAACTCTTCTCTTTGTCTCTTTAGGTTGTATTGAAGAATGGGGACCAGATGCAGGGGCCTTATCATTAATATAAAGTATACTTATTATGCTTATTAACCCATTATCCTTATCCCTATACTTGTTTTTTAGGGGATTATTTTTCTTGACTATTTCGACACATATTGACCTACAACTTTCACATATTAGAGTACATTCGAGTACAAATGCCAAGCAATATTTATTAAAACTTACAAGATATGACAAGTTCAAACTACTATATTTATTTTCGATAGTTTACCTTCTTCTCCACGAACAGGATTTTCAACTTTGAGATAAGCTGTTAAATTCAGTTTCTGAGCGATTCTCACCATTTTTACATGTGTACGTGCAATGTTCTTAGTTCTAAGGTTTCTTCAATTGCATTTATTCATAAACCTATAACTTTGGGAGTTATACATTTTTGGGGCTATATTTTGCACATATTTTGAAGGCCACAGTGACTAATTTTTGGTGCAGTAACTATACTCTCAAACTCAACTTTAAATTGAGGAAAATGGACGTTATATGCCATTCTAAGCCCATAATGAATCAATAAAAATTGGTGAAATATTAAATTTGTCAACTTAATTTGAATTTGTGAAATTTTCAATTTTTATAAATAATATTTTTTCCCCTGTTCATGTTATGATATTGAATCATTATTAAAAGTTGGAGCATTTACCATGTAGATTATGCACAAAAACAGTTTGAGAGTGTTTGAGGAAGGTTGAGAAATCAGTCTCCCGGCCAGTCTTAAAACAACCTGGGTATATTATTTTTGTTTTTGCTTTTTATGTTTGGCTATCAGTGCAGATGATGGCCAAACATTTATATGTAGAGTTGAAGCCCAAGCTTAAGCAAGCCAGTATGTCCTGACCCCTCTTTAAGTACAGCAGGGAAGACCCTTTTATTGGCAATAAGTATCCCTCCCCCCAGTTTTGTCCACCAATCATGTTTTTACTAACCCTTAAAGGGCGCAATGCATATACAGTATATATATGATTTGAGTAAATGTTGCTGAACAGCACACATTGTATATACAGTATGTGATTTATAGAACCGCGCAAGATTTAAAACTCCCACGGCTACACGGGGTTCACATCAGCTTCCTCAGGGCTCTAGTAAACAGACGGCATTTAGAAAAATATCGTGGTTAACATTCCCGGGTGTGAGAGCCTCAGTACTGAGTGAGCAACCAAGGCTGGCACACACAGCATGAGCTAACAGCACTGCTGTTCAGCTTGTGACCACGGCATCGGCTAAAAAATGGGGGTCTACCACTGCAAACCACCTTAAGCCCATCATCACACAGCAAAAATCTGCTATCAGAATGATAACTAACTCAGCTTTCAGACAACACTCAGCTCCCTTGTTTAAATCCCTAAACTTGCTAAATATTAACTCCCTCCACACATTCTCTTGTGTCAACTACATTTACAAAACCCTGTTCTTAAATGCAAACCATGCTCTGAAACTCTCCCTGGACAGATGTAATAGGACCCATTATCACCACACCAGAAATAAATATCTCTTTGATATCCCCAGGGTCAAACTTAATCTGTGTAAACACTCTATGCAAATTAAGGGACCTAGTTTATGGAACTCACTCCCTAGTGAATTGAAAAACTGTAAAACTTTTGCCTTATTTAAAAGCAAAACCAAAAAGTACCTAACTTCATCTTCTTAGTTTTCCTACACTGAGCTTTAAATTTGCTCTGTACCTAGTGTTACCCAATCTCCTAATTTTTATGTAATTTCAAACAACCTTATCATTGTGTTCATTGCTGTCTTCTTTTATGTCCTAGCCATATGCTGTATTGTGACTACCAATTTTTGTCAACTACCATCCAAGCTGTCATTGCAATCAATCTTATATTGTTTCTGCTGTATTATGCCTACCAATTTTTTTGTCAACTACCATTCAAGCTGTCATTGCAATCAATCTTAGCTACCTATGTGCTTTAATATACTGTACCTACAATTTTCTCTCATCTTTTTTTTCACTTCATGTAATCTGTTATCATTTTTTGTCTATAATTTTGCAAGTATTTACCTCCTTAAAATTTTCTTAGATTAAGGACCTGCCCGAAACGCTGCGCGTGCTAGTGGCTTTACAAGACTGTAATTACCATATTTGTATCCTCACATTCCTTATGTACATTCTTGTATATGCATAAATAAATAAATAAATAAATAAAAATGTCAAAATATGTATGAAACTGCTGTTATTTATCGATAATACTATTACAGAAGACCCTTGACTGTGATAAAAATGACCAGGAGTCAGATAATAGCATAATTTTGGAGATAATTAGTGGTGTGTGTGTAGTATGTGGGGGGGGGGAGGAGTAATCTTGGTGAGGGAGGGAGGTAGCAACATCTGCTGACTGTGTGACAACCTGTTAAAAAAGCTCCGTCATCACCAAGGAACCATACTTGAGGGGGACACCTATCACTGCACAATCTTGAAGCTCCATGAAGAAGCATACTGACACAAGCCTGTCTTCTCTGTTCTAGCTTGGAACAGACAAGACCCCAGTGACAAAAATCAAGTAATAATACCTTAGCTCTATTCAATAGGTCTTCAGGGTTGGCTGCTGTCATGCCCAGCTCAGAGATGCGGGACCTCAGAAGAGCCACAGAGTCGTCGATGAGAACTTTAATCTGCCGTTCGAGCTGTGCTGCCCGAGACTTTAATGACTTGTTCTTCTCCTATAAGGAATAATAAGATACTTGTTAGGTTATTCTTAGGTTATAGATACTTGTTAGGTTATTCTTAGGTTAGTTAGGTTATAATATTCTTAATACCAGGTGCAATAAATGAAAACCTTTGAATCAACGAATATTCAACCCATTCTCCTGTTTATATATTAGTTTTTGTAACTATGCCCACCATAATACAAAGATTGCTATTCTAAGCAAATTAGATAGCAGAACTTTGCACTATTCACTTTATAGTTGGAAAAATGAAGCTAAAACACAAACTTCAATTTTCCTAGGCCTAGTATAGGACACACACGTACTATATTAGGCCTCATATATTATATTAGTCTTAGGAAGATTAGGTTAGGTTAGTATAGTTTGTCTTTGCAACATAAGTAAGAAACAGTTTTCTGGTTTATCCAACTGAATAGTTCAGATTTCTACTTTCTAATTTCGTTGTATGTCGGTACAGTATATGTACTATGGTCCTCACCGTCACTGTAAGTACTGTACTACTAACACAGGAGAATGGGGATGGAATATCAAATAAGTTACATAATACTGGAGATATAATTGTATGCAAACCATTCCAATTCAATTTTGCAGTAATTTCTTTATTAAAAAGTCAATTAGACCAGCACCTTGCTTAAGAGCTGTGGAATGGTCAATAACATGGACCATAGTGGACCAATAAACCATAGTGGTCCAATAAACCATAGTGGACCAATAAACCATAGTGGTCCAATAAACCATAGTGGTCCAATAAACCATAGTGGTCCAATAAACCATAGTAGACCAATAAACCATAGTGGTCTAATAACATGGACCATAGTGGACCAATAAACCATAGTGGTCTAATAACATGGACCATAGTGGACCAATAAACCATAGTGGTCCAATAAACCATAGTGGTCCAATAAACCATAGTAGACCAATAAACCATAGTGGTCTAATAACATGGACCATAGTGGACCAATAAACCATAGTGGTCTAATAACATGGACCATAGTGGACCAATAAACCATAGTGGTCTAATAACATGGACCATAGTGGACCAATAAACCATAGTGGTCCAATAAACCATAGTGGTCCAATAAACCATATTGGACCAATAAACCATAGTGGTCTAATAACATGGACCATAGTGGACCAATAAACCATAGTGGTCCAATAAACCATAGTGGTCCAATAAACCATAGTAGACCAATAAACCATAGTGGTCTAATAACATGAACCATAGTGGACCAATAAACCATAGTGGTCTAATAACATGGACCATAGTGGACCAATAAACCATAGTGGTCCAATAACATGGACCATAGTGGACCAATAAACCATAGTGGTCCAATAACATGGAGCATATAATGGACATAAAGGGTCAAGAGCTCACCTTCTCTGCCTCAATCTGTTGCATCACAAAGTCTTTGTACTCTGGCTTCTTAATGGAGTCGAGCATGCTGAGAAATTGTTGACGGAACACATCGAGCAATACTTCTAGTGCATAAGGAGTGTTGGAAGGTGGGATGGGGAGCTCTTCGTGTCGTATAATACCGCTGACGGTGGATGGCGTGAAGAGGGACAACTTCTGATCGACACAACCTGGCGCAGGGTCTTTGAAAGTAGGTGACTTCCCTGCAGTGTATGCAACAATACAAACAACAACATTATGTGGCCACTAAAATCTGACATAGGTCCTCAAAACAAATTATATAATAATTAAGAAAATATTGAAATTTTATATAAATGAAGAGTCAAATAAAAATTAGACACTGAACACAATAATCAACAAGGGCATCTCATTATCACTTCTCCTCTCGTAGCTCTTATAGAAAACCGGCGTTGAATGTTATGAAATACCAATTTCTGGCCGAGCCCCAGAGGCACCTTGAAGCTGTGTGTTATGAAATGGTTACCATCTACTGGGTCACATCATCCATAGAATTCTAGAGGCGAAGGCAGCCAGAATGTCAGCGGGTCAAAACAAAGTACAGTACAGTATTACTAGATTAAAAATAGATCAAAACCTCAAAACAGACCAAAAGAACTCCTGCAACTATGTAAGCAAACAATCAAATTCTCTCAGAACTAGTGCAAGCTCATTTTCTGCACCTCCCCCATATGTTTGGGGGGAGGGGGGAAGGTAACCCACCATCAGCCAAAATCCCCAAGCTCCTTTCAAAGCTGGAGAAATTGCTGACCTGGAGAGTGTGCAGAGATCCTTTACTGCTAGAATCCACTCAGTAAAACATCTAAACTACTGGGACCGACTATAGAGCCTAAATCAGAATTTCTCTAGAGCGCAGACAGGAGAGATACATAATAATCTCTATGTGGAAAATAATAGAGGGGCTGGTCCCAAACCTGCACATCACATGAGACCAGAAGGCATAGCAGGATCTGCAGAATACCCCCATTGAAACGCAGAGGTGCAACAGGTACTCCGAGAGAGAACTTTACCAACATCAGAGGCCCAAGACTGTTCAACACATTTCCACTTCACATAAGGGGCATAATTGGCCGACCTCTCACAGTGTTCAAGAGAGAACTTGACAAACACCTCCAAAGAATTCCTGATCAATCAGGCTGTGACTCATACGTCAGGCTGCGAGCAGGCGTGTCCAACAGCCTGGTTGACCAGTTCAGCAACCAGGAGGCCTGGTCGATGACCGGGCCGCAGGGACGCTAAGCTCCAGAAGCACCTCAAGATAACCAAGATAGGGCAGATGTAGGAATTCACCCAACAACCTGGGAGAGAGTAAGAGGATCAGGGAGCCATCAGGGCTCACCCAGAAAACTAGCATTTTATGGGGGGTAGCCCTTGTGGCTCCTTGAAGCTAAATACCCATGGAGAAGGAAGAACATGGGAACTTACCAGGAAGGAGGAGGAAGCACTGCAGGAATCAGAACGAGGGCGAGACTCCCGCCGAGACATATGACCTTCAAAACTCCCATGACTGAATATCAGCCCAGGACATGGGCTGATATTCAAACACAGCCAAGAGCGGCATACTTTTGAATATCATGGGCATGAAAGTAGACCGCAGGCTGGTCTACCCTCATGTAACTTGGAAAATATGGACCTTGGAACAAGGTACCATAGAAAGAGGAATAATCCACAAGGCATCCATTCAGGGAGGATGCCTGAATGGATGAAATCAGTGGCCCAAAGGTGTCAGCAGAGCCCCACCACCTGACAACTCATGATGCACCTCCAGTTGATCCAACCAAGCATCAATAATCAAAGGCACCCCCCCCCCCTTCCTATGGAAACCAACCAACTCATTCTTTACCAGAAAAGAAGGAACCGGCTGCAAACGAACATAACACCCACTAAGGTGAAAGGAACAAAAACCATGCCTCCAAATGAGAGCATGAAGCTCCCCAACCCAATAACTGGAGGTAAGGGAAACCAAAAGCAAAACCTTAAAAAAAGGCATCCCAGACTGAAGGGGGACACAGTGAAATGAGGAGTGTAGAGAAAAAGCCAGCATAGGGTCTAAAGACCAGGCTGGCTCAAGTGGTGCATGAGCAAAACAGTATGCAAAATGGTGCCAAAGTAGTATTGACACCAAATGCAATCTGTAGCAGCTCCACTAGCCCGGCATATTATGAGATGACAGTATTCGGCACAAGATATCAATTGAGAAAAAACCAAGCAAGTGCAACGATGAAGGGAAAAAAAGTGAGACAAAGATTGCAACTAAACACCATACTGCTGCGGAGAAGAACGCAGGTGAAACATTATCAAAAAGCCACCCACTTGTCATAAAACTGACAATAAGGAAGCCTAATAAATTTCAGACATGAAGAGCTGAGGAGAAGGTCGAACCAGTGAAGTACATTGCCGAGCCAACCATCTAATAGAGATGGAGATGCAGAAAACTGCCTGGGTTCAGACAGCAAGCAAGCAGCACCTGAAACCAAGGCTGAGATGGGTACTAGGGAGCCAGAAGGATCGCTCTTCCCTGGTAACAGGGAAGAGAATCTAACCTGGCCAGATCCCTGAGCAACAGCCAGACTGGAGAAAAGAAGTACAGAAATTCCCACCTTGACCAGTCCAGCTGAAAGGCATCCAATGTTAGGGCCTCACATTCGAATATTGGAACCGCATACAAGGGGAAAGTGCCGATTTCATACCGACACAGAGGGATCCAGGCACCCATACATCTTGCAAAGCTAAACGAAGGTGGCAGCATTAATGGTCCACTCGGTAGAAACAGGATAGAACCAGGACAGACCATCAGCGAGGACATTGGATACTCCTTTGACATAAATGACACCAAACCCCAAGAACCCAGCAGAAGAGCTACATACAGTGTCCAGCCCCAAAGAGGTGAGGAACATTGCAAACACCCAGTTGAGACAATGAACTACAAGGTAACAGTCCAAATGGAGACGGAGCATAAACCCAAAGGAACATGAACCCTCTGCAGTGCATGCCACACAGCCTTAAACTCCCAAACCGTACAGTAAGCCCAATGAAAGAGTGATCCTGGCCAGTTTGGCGACTCCAAAAAGAAAGTAGACAACAAAGCAGCCGGCACAGGACCAATGAAGCCTGCACCCAACGATTGTGGCAGATCACCCAAAAGAAACCAAAACAGCTGCTGAAGCCCAGAGGAAACACAAGGCAGGCAAAGTTCAGGCTCCCACACTACCACTTGAGCGACCACAGAGTCACCCGAGACCAACTTAACACCGACAGACGGTGCTGCTGCAGCCTGGTCAAAGCTCCAGGAGGCAGGGAAAGTGATGTCGACAAAGTCCCAAACAAGGCCCAGCCAAGTTCAAACCTGGGACAGAACCACCTGGGACATCTGCCAGTTTATCAGGAACCTGAACCAGAGCTGTATGGGCCCGATGGGCCCCACGAGAATAGGACATGTTCATTATGGAAGCACAATGTTTAAATATTTAGGTATTGTTGTAAGCACACTTATATAATATATCCCTACATTCTGGTGTGGGACTAAATATTTAAGATATATATTTCCTGGTGAATAATCCTTTCAGCATAAATGTAACAATGCTTTCAGTGGAGCACAGAAGAGGAAGAGAGCTGCAGAGGAGAAGGAGAAAATAGGAAAACTTCCAAAATTAACATCGAGGCTCAACACAGATGCAACGACAGCTACTCATACCATTCCTTCAGATATAGCATCCACATCAGCATCCACTCCTGCGATGTCAGCCACAAGTACTGTTCCTTCAGATACAGCATCCACATCTACATCCATTCCTGCTATCAATCATCAAATTTCAGCAGACATATCATTATTGCCTGTTGCTGCTACTGGTGACATTTTACAAGAAGATATACCCAAATATGTAATAGTAAAGGAGTTTGCAATTCAAGAGACAGAACCTGGGCTATGAAACATTAATGATATTAACACAATAAATTACTGGATTCGTAGTGGGCCCTCGCCATATCAGAATCATGATTGCACGAGTCTGAAAGATTGCCGAGTGTATAAAACAGCTGGAGTAGAGAATATGAAGGAAGGTATTTATCAAACAATGTGTTCAAACGTGAAGTGCGGAATGAGGAGGACCTCTAAGGGATCCACCCCCAAACACCCCAGGGTAAAAGAACCCCAAAGTGCAAGGACAGAACTAGGAAGTACAGAAGGAAGATAACCCTGTGCACTTGCAGCTCTAAGCACTCTTAATATCCAGGCTCAAGCTACAATTCACAACGTACAGGAATGCCAATAAGGACAGAACCCACGACTCAGCAGGAGCCCAAGCAGCAGAGAGGCGACCCCGACGTACATTAATATCAGCACAGAACTGAGGGTGGAGTAGCCGGCCGACTGCGCGCTACCTCTCCCCTCCCCTAAATGAGTGAGGGAAGTGGGGGTGAATGAGCTTGAACTAGTTTGGAGAGGTTTCTTATCATTTGTTTACATAGTTGAAAGAGTTCTGTCTGTGGTTTTAGAGGCTGCAGTCTCTATTCCAGCAAAACCCTGGTAGACCTATAACACTCCATAGCTAATGTGGCCTAGTAGCTGGTACACTATTATTGATAGTAGCTTCAGGGAGCCACAAGGGGCTCCCCCCCAAAAAAAGAGTGAGAATTCTCTATTCTATTTGGTAGACCAATATTTAAAATATAATGAAGTACAGAAACTTCTGCAGGGAAAATGTTACAATCATTCAGGTTAGGACAATTCTAGTAGGCTTCCAAGTCAAATTATTCCTATTTAAAGCTTCACTGGAATAAACACATTTTCAGTATTTTTCAAACTTATCACAGTTGTAAGAAAGTAACAGCATATCAGATATACATAACACAAACAAATTAAAAGAAGACTTTAAGGTGTGCTTTGAGGACCCGGAGAAGATACACGGCCCAGATTAAATTGTTACGCCGTTTGATTTTAAAATAGAAAATAAAGATATTAATTGTCAATTGGAGGAAAAACTCATTTATATGATAATGGATCAGCAAAGGAAGAGAGTGGACCTGGGAGAGCATGATGGTTTACCACCACAACTCTCCAGCCTGGGAGAGTGCGGTGGTTTACCACCACAACTCTCCAACCTGGGAGAGCATGATGGTTTACCACCACAACTCTCCAACCTGGGAGAGCACAGTGGTTTAACACCACAACTCTCCAACCTGGGAGAGCACGATGGTTTACCACCACAACTCTCCAACCTGGGAGAGCATGATGGTTCACCACCACAACTCTCCAACCTGGGAGAGCACGGTGGTTTACCACCACAACTCTCCAACCTGGGAGAGCACGGTGGTTTACCACCACAACTCTCCAGCCTGGGAGAGCATGATGGTTCACCACCACAACTCTCCAACCTGGGAGAGCACGATGGTTTACCACCACAACTCTCCAACCTGGGAGAGCATGATGGTTCACCACCACAACTCTCCAGCCTGGGAGAGCACGATGGTTCACCACCACAACTCTCCAGCCTGGGAGAGCACGATGGTTCACCACCACAACTCTCCAACCTGGGAGAGCACGATGGTTTACCACCACAACTCTCCAACCTGGGAGAGCATGATGGTTCACCACCACAACTCTCCAACCTGGGAGAGCATGATGGTTTACCACCACAACTCTCCAACCTGGGAGAGCACAGTGGTTTACCACCACAACTCTCCAACCTGGGAGAGCACGGTGGTTTACCACCACAACTCTCCAGCCTGGGAGAGCACGATGGTTCACCACCACAACTCTCCAACCTGGGAGAGCACGGTGGTTCACCACCACAACTCTCCAGCCTGGGAGAGCACGGTGGTTTACCACCACAACTCTCCAGCCTGGGAGAGCACGGTGGTTCACCACCACAACTCTCCAACCTGGGAGAGCACGGTGGTTCACCACCACAACTCTCCAACCTGGGAGAGCACGGTGGTTCACCACCACAACTCTCCAACCTGGGAGAGCACGGTGGTTCACCACCACAACTCTCCAACCTGGGAGAGCACGGTGGTTTACCACCACAACTCTCCAGCCTGGGAGAGCACGATGGTTCACCACCACAACTCTCCAGCCTGGGAGAGCACGATGGTTCACCACCACAACTCTCCAACCTGGGAGAGCACGATGGTTTACCACCACAACTCTCCAACCTGGGAGAGCATGATGGTTCACCACCACAACTCTCCAACCTGGGAGAGCATGATGGTTTACCACCACAACTCTCCAACCTGGGAGAGCATGATGGTTCACCACCACAACTCTCCAACCTGGGAGAGCACGGTGGTTCACCACCACAACTCTCCAACCTGGGAGAGCACGGTGGTTCACCACCACAACTCTCCAGCCAAATATCAGTGCTCTTGTTGACACTCATCACGCGCATCTTTCCCATTAATGATATCAACTATTTCACTGAAGATATCATCAATCTTAGCTAGCATATTTTAATATTGACTTTTTTATTACTATTATTAATGATTTATTATTATTATTATTGGTAGTACTGGTAGAGTAGTATTTCCATTAAAATATGTTGATATAATAAAGATATGGGGGTTGATGAACACAGTGAAGCTCCACACGGAGACCGATGAGTTGAAGAGTTTGGGGACCCTGGTACGGGAACCTTACACCTAATGCCTTTGCACGCCAGGCAGTAAATAGGTACTCGGGAGTTAGGCAACTGTTGTGGGTTGCATCCTGAGGAAGGTCGTCCTAGGGAAGACCTTGATTATCCTAAGTACTGGCTTCCTGTCCCCAACAATGGGAATCATTAATTATACAAATCAATTTGGAAGAAAACTGATTTTTTTTTTGTTCGTTGACCACTTGTGACTGTCGAAGAGAAAGGGCTTAGCAATGATTCACAATGAAAGATAACTCCTTTTTAGAGTAATACAAACCATAGGATATTAGCTTTTGATAAAAGCAATAAATATAATATCAATGAAAATATGTTCAATTCACCATTACACAATATAAAAATATGCAAAATATGTAAAAATATGTCTTGATTAAAATAAATAAAATTTAATCCCCTCCATGAATTACAGTACAGTATTATTATTTTTTATCCGAATCCGACTCGTCTCCTAGAACGCAACATTAGGACTGAATTAAATTAAAACTGCCCTCGCCATAAAAACTGTAATAAGTCGTTTTGAATACAAATTTTGATCGAATTGGATTTCACGCTAAATGAGAAATGTATTATTGAAAGTAAAGAAAAGACCCCAATACATACATGTATAATCGTGTTAAAACCAAATATTGGGATGCAACCTACAGCCTATAACAGTGTTGTAAACAATGGTCACAACAGTTTAAAACACCTTCATTTTGTTTTAATACAATAATAAAGTTTGAAGATTACATAACAAAATTTGGTTTAAATAAACTTAAGACACATACAGGGTCTTTCCGTCATCTTCATTCAAGCACTGTGGCAGCAAGTTTTTCAAACATATTATTAACATATCTTCATGTTTAAACTTTGTAGCATATTTTATATAGTATAGTACAGTATATATAAATATTTGTACATATAACCCCTTCCCCCTCCCACTACCAAGCAGTGGACTCAAGCAAATGCAGTCAGTTATGTTTTGGAAGGTTTATATATATTTTGTGTCATTGGATGAAAAGAAAAGCTGGGGGGGGGGGGAGGTAAGTTGTGAGAAAGCCCTTTTCTCAACTTCCCGTCACCCCCCCCCCCTAGCTTTGCTTTTCACAAGTGTTTTGGAGAGCCGGGAGGAGGTTGAGCAAATAGGGTTGAGAATCCAAGGGAGGGTGAAGAAACAGGAGAGAGAAGGATAACAGGGCAAGAGAGAGGTAAGAGAAGGGAAAGGGAAAAGAAGAGAGTGGTAGCAGAAGGAAAGAAAGGGGGTATCTGGATGAGGCTCTGGGAGTTCTTCTACTGACTTGTGAGAGTTTGGTCCACCAGGCTGTTGCTTGGAGCAGCCTGCAGGCCCACATATATCCTGTACCTGCTTGATGGGGTCCTGAGCATTCTTCTACTCCCAAGCCCGGCCCGAGGCCAGGCTTGACTTGTGAGAGTTTGGTCCACCAGGCTGTTGCTTGGAGCGGCCCGCAGGCCCACATATACCGGCTTGATGGGGTTCTGGGAGTTCTTCTACTGTCCAAGCCCAGCCCGAGGCCAGGCTTGACTTGTGAGAGTTTGGTCTACCAGGCTGTTGCTTGGAGTGGCCTGCATACCTCGAGATGGTTACCTTGAGATGGTTTTGGGACTTAGCGTCCCCACGGCTCGGTCCTCGACCAGGCCTTTAAATGTGCATATGCTATGTGCATCTCTCGAGATGATTTGATTTTATTTCGGGGCTTAGCATCTCAGTGGCTTGGTCCTCGACAAGACCTCCTTTTTTGTTACACACCCCCAGCAAGCAGCCCGTTGCAGCTGTCTAATGCCCAGGTACCTATTTACTGCTAGGTAACAGGGGCATCAGGGTGAAAGAAACATTTTGCCCATTTGTCTCCGCCTCCACCGGGAATCGAACCCGGAACCTCAGGACTACGAATCCGAAGAGCTGTCCACCCAGCTGTCAGGCATGCCCACATATTCACCACAGCCCAGTTGGTCTAGCACTTAGAGAAAATTAGATAGTTTTCTTCAAGAAAATGTCCACAGTTGTTCCGACAATATTTCTTATGCTCACTGGGAGGATGAATAACAGTGCACCTCTGATGTTTATACAGTGTTTTCTTATTGTGCTTATTGTGCCTATGGCACCTCTGTTCTTCATTGGTTCTATTCTGCATTTCTTTCCATATCGTTCACTCCACTATTTTCCATGTATATACAGTATTATTTGATATCTCTCTCTCGCCTCCTTTCTAGTGAGTACATTTGGAGAGCTTTGAGATGATCCCAATAATTTAGGTGCTTTATCTCGTCTATGAGTGCCATATATGTTCTCTGTATTCCCTCTATTTCAGCAATCTCTCCTGCTCTGAAGGGGGAAGTGAATACTGAACAATACTTAAGACGGGACAACACAAATGATTTGAAAAGTACAACCATTGTGATGGGATCCCTGGATTTTAAAGTTCTAGTAATCTATCCTATCATTTTTCTGCCTGACGCAATATTTGCTTGGTTATGCTCCCTAAACATTAGGTTATAGAAGGGAAGAGAGAGAGGGGTTAAGAGAAGGCAAGTGGGGTAAGAGAAGGCAAGGGGTGGTAAGAGAAGGTAAGGGGGGTAGGAGAAGGTAAGGGGGGGGGGGTAAGAGAAGGTGAGGGGGGGTAGGGTAAGAGAAGGGAGTGTGAGGTAACATACAGGGAACACAGTAATAGAGTGTGTGTGATGCGCCACTAGGAGGAAAGTCATAATGGGTCACTAGGAATACAATTTAAAGAGTCAAAATGGTACACACTTTAACCTCCAAAAATCTGTACCTTTTTACAATAAATAGACTTAAGTAACTAATCATTTTTCTACTGGACTGTCCTTCCAAAATTTGAATTTGAAGCCGAATTTGTTTAATGTTGTGATAAAATGTGGAGCATCTCTGTAAAATAATATACATCCACATCATATTTTGCTCTTTTTTGCTTGATTGTAGTAGAAAATGTAATTTAAAAAGGATTTTTAATGTTTGAAATGTTTTACTATATTTATACTGTAATATAAATATTGTAGTACAATGCAATAGCAGAGTGCTAACGCACTAAGTCCACACTGTGTGACCTTTTCCCTCTGTGCTCTTGCTCATTTAATAAGGATTTGCATACATTTGTCTTGTTTATATTTAGTGCTTGTGATGGCAATGTTGTCACCTCTATTTTTGTGATGGAGATGATGATGTCTTTGTGTTGTCAACTATAGCAAATTTGCTAAGAAATTCCACATTAAGTGTTTTCTGGGGCAGCCCCTTGTGGCTTCCAGAAGCTAAATGCTGACATGGTCGAGATCTACTGGGTCACAATAGCTGTAGAGTTCTAGAGGGACTAAAGCCAGAACCTGGCTCTTCCTCAGAGAAGCTGGGAGCAGTGACATTTATTTTTGCCAACACACTGGGGAAGGCAACTAGAATGTCAGCGACTCAAAACAAACTACTGCTGGATTCGAGAGAGACCAAAACCTTAAAATTGACCGAAAGAACTATGTAAACAAACGATCGAATTCTCTCGGAACTAGTGCAAGCTCGTTTGCTCCACTCGTTTGCAGAGTGGAGCAAACCTGCTGGGGCCTGAGCTTCGAGTTCTAGTGCTGCTGTGAGAATTTAGTGGTTACCGGGTCATAGCTTTCGTGTACCGGCTCTGGTGTCCTGCTGTTCAGCTAAATAATGTGGAGTTTACCCTTTGTGGCTTTCCCTTATTCTGTAGTGGATGTGAGCCAGGTCTTAAGTGTGCTTGGAGCTGCTTGTGCTCCGGGTTTCCTTCCATGGGTACTCCTTAGTGCTGCCCTTATACTGACAGAGTTCTACTCTGGTGTGGTCCAGGGATGCTCTTTTAGAGGTTGTCCTTGCTTGAGGTGACCCATGCCTTGGGCGAGCCAAGTTCTTGTCCCCACAATCTTTGCCCTGGTCAGGAGCAACATTGGCTGGTGGAATACATTGGGGATTTCCATGCTCAATGTTTCCAGACTGCCAAGGTCAACCTTTACAGCTGTGTGAACTAGGCTGTGCCAGATTACTTTTGGGTCCAGCATAGACACCCAGTGCCTGGGTGTCCTGCTTGGTTTACCCTTCAGGCCCTGGAAATTCCCTGTGGGTTTGGTGGTACTATGGATAACCCCACCTTCCCCAGAACCTGCTCTCACTTCGTGCAAGTTTGAAGATTATTCATCGTCCAAGCCACAAGGCGACGATCTTTCTGCCTCCACCATGCTACCTGTTGTGTCAATGACAGCTTTGATCCTGAGTCCTCTGGGGTTTGTTCTACACACATGGTTCTTCTTTCTGATCCTCCTAAAGAGGTTAGGGGACTTATCAGGCAGCAACCACTTTGCATGTTAATACTGCTAGGTTGAGTGCCTGGATGCCATGGAATAGGAGATGTTGTGAATTTCACCTTGGCTCCATCCACACCTCTACTTTTCCCTCCAGGTGTGGTTTGCCCTTCATGTAATTTTTCTCCCTCTGCTTCCTGCCCTGATGCACCAGAGGGTTTCGGAGTCGGGGCAGGGTTTAGCTTGGAACATGGCTCAGTCAGTTTTGAGGAATGCCCATCCTGAATCAGGCACAGAGGCAGTTGGGCCAGCAGGTCCACCCAAGGTTTCTGGCTCTTCCTTTAAGCCAGCCTCTTCCTTGGACTCTGCTATTCTATCCCAGGAGGTGGGGATAGACATTAGCTCCGTCCCCGAGTCTACGAGTGCAGCTTTTGAGGCTTGGGGGACAGTCGGATATGGGCCCCTAGGTCCCGTTCAACTCTATATTTCTTTCTCTTTCTCTCACATGTGCTATAGAGGATTTGGATTCACCCAGGCTCCATGCTCCAGCTTTGTTTGGACTGTTGCCTTGTGATTCGTTGCCTAAACTAGAGGGTTCTCTTTGGTCCCTGTCTCTTTGGTGCCGGACGCCTTTAGTATTTCTCAGCACTGTTCAAGTCCAGGGAGTGTCCAACACTCTCACAGTCTGTCCCAGTTCCAGTCCCAGCCTCCTTCCTTTGGTTTTGCAAGACATACAGGCGCCCAGATGTGGAATTCTTTGCATTGGTGCAAAATTGGCACCTTCCCTTGTATGTAGCTCTATTCCCCAAGTGCGAGACCCCTCACAGCAGATGTCTTTCAGCTGGACTGGCCAAGGTGAGGATTCAGTATCCCTGGCCAGCTGTTGCTCCAGGCCATGACCCGGATAGAGTTCTACCAGGGGGAGAGTGATCCTTCTGGCTCCTTGGTGATCAGCTCGGCCTTAGTTTCAGGCACTGGCTGCTCAGTGTCTGCATTTTTTTGCGGTTCCGGCTTCATCAGAAGGTAAACTCGGTGTGTAGTTCATATTCGCCCTTGTCAACTCTTCACATCTTCTGACTCGCCTTTATTGCCATCTTTATGGCGAGTGGGTGGCTTTGATGGTGTTCCACCCGCGCACTTTTTCGCAGTAGTATTGTATGAGGTTTCATGGTGCTCCTCCTGCCACTTCCTCTCCCATCATTGTTACCTGTTGGTTTCTGAGAGTGTAGTGCTCTGCTTTCTTGGCTTTTTCTTGATCAGCATCTAGTGCCAAATACTGCTGCCTCATTCTGCAGCACTGATGAGCCACTACAGCTCGCATTCGGTGTCAGTACTGTACTACCTCGGCAAAATTTCAGAGGCTGTCTTGCACCTTGTTTAACCTCCAGCCTGCTTATGTGCCACATGAGCCAGCCTGATCTTTGGCCTATGTGACTGCTTTTCTTTCCTCTTCTCATTTCATGGAGCGTCCAGGATTCCTTTAATATGACTGCTCTTGGGTTCTCTTGCCTCTGGCTGACTGGTTAGAAAGCTTCATGCTCTCTTCCAGGTGGGTGTTTTGTTCCTTTGCAACCAGCTTCTCCTTTTCTGGGGAAGAACAAGTTGGTTGGCTTCCAGAGAGGTCTTTGGTAATTGATGCTTAGTTTAGCTGGGGGTGCATCATGTGTTGTGCCCGGTGGCAGGTCTTGACCCCCTTTGGGTCATTCGTTCTGCTTTGGTGGTTGCTTTGTATGTTGATCCTCTTTCCTTGGTCCCCTATTCCATGGCTCATATTTCCCTGATTGTTCACTATTGAATTAAGTCTAACCAGTCTGTTGTCTACCCTCATTCCCATGATGCTCGGAAGTATGCCACTCTTTCAGGTATGTTTCTGAAGATGCCTCCCCTGGCAGATATTTGGGTGCAGGGAATTTTGGAGATCAAACAGGGTTCTGGTGATCCGGTATTTGGAGAATGTTCCCAGGCACAGCCTAATCAACCAGGCTGTGACTGGCCTAATCGTCAGGCTGCGAGCAGCCGCATCCAACAGCCCGGTTGACCAGTCCAGCAACGAGGAGGCCTGGTCAACGACCGGGCCGCGGGGTCGCCGAGTCTCGGAATCACCTCAAGGTAACCTGAAGGTAGGCCTCAGCACTCTTGTATGACTTTAGATAGCATCTCTCAGCCGGGAGTTTCATCATCGCCCTGATTCTTACAGTGCTCTCTCTTCTCCCTGGGAGATTCCCATATTTTCCTTCTCCTCCGTAGGTGTTTAGCTTCAGGTAGCCATAAGGGGCACCCCAGATAAACAGCATTGAATGTAATGAAATACAAATTTCTGGCAAGCTGCCCTTTCCCCCCTCCCTCCCCAGCACCTGCTTTAGAACTGGGAGCTCAGGCCCCGACAGGCAGTGAGTTACCTTCCCCACCTCCCCCCAAATGAGTAGAGGGGTGATGAAAATGAGCTCGCCCTAGTTCCCAGAATGCAAGCATTTCTTAACATAGTTGGAGGAGTTCTTTCAATCGGTTTTAAGGGTTCGGTCTCTTTGGAATTCAGCAGTAGTTTGTTCTGACTCACTGATTTTCTGGTTGTCTTCTCAAGTGAGGTGGCAAAAAAATAAATGACACTAATTCCTGTGCCTCTGTGAGGAGGGCCGAGTTATAGCTCCAGTTTCTGGTAGGTCTCTTCAACGGCTTATGTGACTCGGTAGATGTCAAACATCTCAGCATATAGCATTAGGAAACCACTGGAACTCACCCAGAAATTGGCATTTCATTACATTCAATGCTGGTTTTCTGCGACAAATTATTTGATGGGGATATGCTGTACAATGCATTATTTATTCTTAATTGCTGGTGTTAAATAACACCAGCCATTTTTTATATTAGTAATGAAGACTCGAATATTTTTTTTTTTAATAATTTTTCCATTATTGTACAACACTACCGAATTTGTCATATTTTTATGGAAAGAGCATTTATTTTTCTCATTTTATATTAAATATATATATTAATAATTTTGACTTAGTTTTGTTTACCCTTGATGGGCTAAAACAGTCAGCATGCCACAGCTCAAAAGATAAATATGCCAGATTTTGGAGGTTACAGTGAATTTTAGTGTTGCACGATATGAAATTATTACTGTACTGCAGCGGGTAAGACTACGGTCGTGTTGATATTTGACGGTTGCTAAGATTATATCCTGGTATCTGAGATGGGGGCAGCTGGAGGGGCAGAGGTCTCCACTGGGGCCTTGTGCCCTGTGACCTGCTCCACACGCCCCACAATGTGGTTCAGCTGTAGGCATATTTACCCCTAAGAAGATTATAAATACATGCACATGTTTACAGTATGTAATGAGGAAATCCCTTATAAATCTTTTCAAATAACAAAACATTTCATTACTTGAAAATTACTTGCAAAATAACAGTACACTATCTACTTGACACAACTAGACTTGACTAACCATCTGAATTTGTGCTTAGTAGGGTTTGTGTATGCAGAAGGTCTAGGCCGTTAATCTTGATGGGTTTTTTGGCCGACCGATGTGTTCGCTTTCCTCCTCTTCTACTATTGCTGAGGGTTGTGCGTCTCTGCCCACGAGTCTGTTAATAAGAGATGAAAACACATATTGCACATATTTATGCTGCTAATTTGCCATGATATACCAAAACATGCTGGTCTAGTGGTGGCAGCAATCTTCATAAGTTTGGCCACACTGCACACAATATTACCTACAAATGCATTAGACAATACCAAGTTGCAATGTTATTTTTGCTAATGTCTGCAGGTTAATTTTTATGCACCAAAGAATGGAAATGAAGAGAGGAAAAGAGAAGCAACAAAAATTCCTTCAAGTAATGAAGGCAAGGAGGAAGACGGGAAATAATGAGGTGGGTGAGAGAGCATGAATGAGAGGGGGGGGGGGGGGCATAAATGAGGAAGGTGAGAAAAGGACTCACCGCCACAGGAGGGTCAGGGTCATCCACAATAGATGGTTTTGACGCAGCTGCTCTTCTCTGAGTATTTCTCCTCCTTGTTCCAGCACTTGAATGTCGAGATGCCCCATTGTTGACATTTTCGTCATTCTCGTCTGCTGAGCTTCGACAAGATGAACCTTTTGGTGTTGTTTTTGCAGAAGAAGAAGAATTTACAAGAGTTGAACTGGAACACCAGTCATTCCATGCACGTCGAGTGGTTGGACCAATTATTGGGTCATCAAGGTCCTTGTTTTGGTCAGATGAGTTGTTAGAGGAAGTTTCAGAATTGATGGAGGCCTTATTAAGGTCCCTCCGGACTCTGCGCACACCGGGTGACTCATCCTCCTAAAGCCCAGGAGTAAACTTTAGAGTTGTATTAAGTTTGCCATCATGAGCAGCACACACTCATGCACACATAACATGACATTGTCTCTTTTTAAAGGCCTCATAACATGAGGGATTTCAAATTTCATAAACAAAGCGCCAATGCATTCAGTGATGTGTCCCAAATTATATTTTCTTCAAAGGCATCTCAATTATGGATTTGTGTACCTAACACTCAACCATGTTTCACAGCATCCAGTATCTGTTAACTTACAAAACACCTTGCTTTTCACCGATGCAAGAATCATTCTTGAATCAAAACATGGAACACACGTTTTGTTCATAAAACTGTGTTATGTGTTCGTGGAACACGTAACACAGAAAAATGAGCGTTAGTGAAAACACTATGAAAAAGATCTCGTGCATACTGGTGTGTTGTAAGTTTAGACCACAAATAAAACACACAATTATAACCAATTTAAGTGTACATTTCTAGTGCATTCTGCGATTCCTTTTCTCAATTTTCTTGCTTTCATTCAGTTTGGGATTTTTTGTCTTGGTCTTCTTGGCAGAAGAGCCGAGTAATACTAGAGATGACAGGCCAAGCCTAGTGTGAGAGGCAGATATGAAGCAGAAGATAAGGCGGCCCCACCAAAGTTACCAATCAACATAATATTACAACACTTTCTTACTCAACAAGAGCTGCACAGAGGCTATTTACGGGCTCTTCAAAGACTTGCTGGACTCTTCCACTACATTTTAGTTGAAAATGGAAAATAGTTGATAGATAAAGATAGCACGAAAAGAAACAAAAATGTCACACAAAACATATTACTGCACGGCAAAGATTCATTTGAAAATACAGTACAGTACTGAGATGTTGAAGTTGTAATGGTCTACCATACATCATACTACTACTGCCCAATAATTCTCCTATTTATAGTCAGTTTTCTAAGTTACATATCACAATCTTAGATTCATTCAATTTTCATCATTAGCTTCATGATCAGTGGTTTCTAACACCCAAAATTTTTTATTTTCCCAAAGTGTTTCACCATTACAGATACAAAAAAAGGGGGATTTCAATACCTTTGGTAATATTGGCCAAATGAACAGGAACTCTAATATGATATAATCAAATGATATAGTTTACTGTCTACAGAAAATACCAGCTGAACCAAATACTGAGCTTTTGTATTTTTGTTAAGAGCTCAAAAAATGTCAAATGTTTTTGGATTGTGATATGTGGGAGTTGATCACGTGTGGCTGGTGCACGGTGGACCCCACACTTCTCCACGGGGGGTTGTGGGAGTTGATCACGTGTGGCTGGTGCACGGTGGACCCCACACTTCTCCACGAGGGCTTGTGGGAGTTGGTCACGTGTGGCTGGTGCACGGTGGACCCCACACTTCTCCCACGGGGGGTTGTGGGAGTTGGTCACGTGTGGCTGGTGCACGGTGGACCCCACACTTCTCCCACAGGGGGTTGTGGGAGTTGGTCACGTGTGGCTGGTGCACGGTGGACCCCACACTTCTCCCACAGGGGGTTGTGGGAGTTGATCACGTGTGGCTGGTGCACGGTGGACCCCACACTTCTCCACGAGGGCTTGTGGGAGTTGATCACGTGTGGCTGGTGCACGGTGGACCCCACACTTCTCCCACAGGGGGTTGTGGGAGTTGATCACGTGTGGCTGGTGCACGGTGGACCCCACACTTCTCCACGAGGGCTTGTGGGAGTTGATCACGTGTGGCTGGTGCACGGTAGACCCACACTTCTCCCACGGGGGCTTGTGGGAGTTGGTCACGTGTGGCTGGTGCACGGTGGACCCCACACTTCTCCACGGGGGCTTGTGGGAGTTGATCACGTGTGGCTGGTGCACGGTGGACCCACACTTCTCCCACGGGGGCTTGTGGGAGTTGATCACGTGAGGCTGGTGCACGGTGGACCCCACACTTCTCCACGGGGGGTTGTGGGAGTTGATCACGTGTGGCTGGTGCACGGTGGACCCCACACTTCTCCACGGGGGGTTGTGGGAGTTGGTCACGTGAGGCTGGTGCACGGTGGACCCCACACTTCTCCCACAGGGGGTTGTGGGAGTTGGTCACGTGTGGCTGGTGCACGGTGGACCCCACACTTCTCCCACGGGGGGTTGTGGGAGTTGGTCACGTGTGGCTGGTGCACGGTGGACCCCACACTTCTCCCACGGGGGGTTGTGGGAGTTGATCACGTGTGGCTGGTGCACGGTAGACCCACACTTCTCCCACGGGGGGTTGTGGGAGTTGATCACGTGTGGCTGGTGCACGGTAGACCCCACACTTCTCCCACGGGGGGTTGTGGGAGTTGGTCACGTGTGGCTGGTGCACGGTGGACCCCACACTTCTCCCACAGGGGGTTGTGGGAGTTGGTCACGTGTGGCTGGTGCACGGTGGACCCCACACTTCTCCCACGGGGGCTTGTGGGAGTTGATCACGTGTGGCTGGTGCACGGTGGACCCCACACTTCTCCCACGGGGGCTTGTGGGAGTTGATCACGTGTGGCTGGTGCACGGTGGACCCCACACTTCTCCCACGGGGGGTTGTGGGAGTTGGTCACGTGTGGCTGGTGCACGGTGGACCCCACACTTCTCCCACGGGGGGTTGTGGGAGTTGGTCACGTGTGGCTGGTGCACGGTAGACCCACACTTCTCCCACGGGGGGTTGTGGTGCACGTGTGGCTGGTGCATGGTAGACCCACACTTCTCCCACGGGGGCTTGTGGGAGTTGGTGGTCACGTGTGGCTGGTGCACGGTGGACCCCACACTTCTCCCACGGGGGGTTGTGGGAGTTGATCACGTGTGGCTGGTGCACGGTGGACCCCACACTTCTCCCACAGGGGGTTGTGGGAGTTGATCCACTGGTGGGGGACCCCACACTTCTCCACGGGGGGTTGTGGGAGTTGGTCACGTGTGGCTGGTGCACGGTGGACCCCACACTTCTCCCACAGGGGGTTGTGGGAGTTGGTCACGTGTGGCTGGTGCACGGTGGACCCCACACTTCTCCCACAGGGGGTTGTGGGAGTTGGTCACGTGTGGCTGGTGCACGGTGGACCCCACACTTCTCCACGGGGGGTTGTGGGAGTTGGTCACGTGTGGCTGGTGCACGGTAGACCCACACTTCTCCCACAGGGGGTTGTGGGAGTTGATCACGTGTGGCTGGTGCACGGGGGGTTGTGGGAGGTGTGTGGCTGGTGCCCACACTTCTCCCACGGGGGGTTGTGGGAGTTGATCACGTGTGGCTGGTGCACGGTGGACCCCACACTTCTCCCACGGGGGCTTGTGGGAGTTGGTCACGTGTGGCTGGTGCACGGTGGACCCCACACTTCTCCCACGGGGGGTTGTGGGAGTTGGTCACGTGTGGCTGGTGCACGGTGGACCCACACTTCTCCCACGGGGGGTTGTGGGAGTGGTGGTCACGTGTGGCTGGTGCATGGTAGACCCACACTTCTCCCACGGGGGGTTGTGGGAGTTGGTGGTCACGTGTGGCTGGTGCATGGTAGACCCACACAATTCTCCCATGGGGGCTTGTGGGAGTTGGTGGTCACGTGTGGCTGGTGCACGGTGGACCCACACAATTCTCCCATGGGGGCTTGTGGGAGTTGGTGGTCACGTGTGGCTGGTGCATGGTAGACCCACACAATTCTCCCATGGGGGCTTGTGGGAGTTGGTGGTCACGTGTGGCTGGTCCACTGTGGACCCACACTTCTCCACGGGGGGTTGTGGGAATTGGAGTAAGGCAGAGGTTGCCACTCTCAGTTAAGTGTAATTTGTTTTGTAGGTCAATTTGTATTGTCTGGTAAACTTTGGTATAATATTATTGTTTATAGTGAATTAAACATGTAGTATACTAAGCTCCAGTGAGTAAATATATTTTTTATAAAATACATATTAAGCTTTATCTATGTAATATAAACATTATTTAATTTTTCTTCCTAAAAGGCTTTATCAAGTTAATTAATCAGTAACCTAGCGAAATGGGCAGTTAATTTCCATGTTATATCTGTTTTATGTCTTGTCTGTGGGGTGAGAAATGCACTGGCATTCTTAAATTTTTGGGTAACGGAGTTCACGCCTTACAAACATTCGTTCACACGACCATTCTCCCAGGCCCCCATGTACCCCCTTCATGTATAAAATCACTGTACTAACTCACTGGAGCATCCCTTTGAATTTTGCGGCAGTGGGAACATTGGTCCCGCAGCCACATGGAGGAGTACAGTATTGCACAAAATTGGCTGTGTGTGTGTGTGGGGTGTGGGATGGGGGTAGGGTGGGTGGGAGGTGCATGGGGGGTATGGGATGGAGGCAGGGTGGGTGGGAGGTGCATGGGGGGTATGGAATGGGGGAAGGGTGGGTGGGAGGTGCATGGGGGTATGTGATACACTCCCGTCACAAGTCCTCAATGACCCACACACCATTTGTACAAGACCAGATCGTGTTTACTCTGTTGGTGCGGTGGGGACCACGGGATGGTGATAGGAGAGTGAGGAGGCGTTTACTCAAGAGACAAATTACAAAATGGTGGACCACCAATACAGTGCACATGTATTTTCAGGTTTCAAAATATATTTGTATTGTATTTTTGATAATAGGAGGACAAGAATGCTAATGATTTTTAATAACGTCCAGAGACCTACTGATGAGACCATCTTTAATACTGGTCACAGTATATGAACCTTACTTTAATTAGGACATTCAAACTGTATTATGTATAATAATAATATTTACAGCTTAACTATCTCCAGTTGTCTTGCTTATTACATATAATGATGATAATATCTTGACTCTAGCTATAGTTGTTGTGTTTACTAGATATGATTATGTTATATCTAGGGGCCTGATGGCTGAGTGGACAGCACTCGGTATTCATAGTCCTGAGGTTCCGGGTTCAATCCCCGGTGGAGACGGAAACAAATGGGCAGAGTTTCTTTCGCCCCGATGCCCCTGTTACCTAGCAGTAAATAGGTACCTGGGAGTTAGACAGCTGCTACGGGCTGCTTCCTGAGGGGGTGTAACAAACAGGAGGCCTGGTCGAGGACCGGGCCGCAGGGACGCTAAGCCCCGAAATCATCTCAAGATAACCTCAAGAAGATGTTTACATCCTGACTCTAGCTCTAGTTCTTTACTAGATATAATGATGTCTTACATCTTGAATCTTGCTCTAATAGTTGTGTTTACTAGTAGTGATGCCCACCTCAGGGCAAAACTAAAGCAATGAATGAATAAGAATGAAAATAGAATAAGAGAAATACTGTGTACTGAGTATCATAATAAGTATATAGTATTAGTCTTGTGTTTTCTTTCAGCATGTTTTATTCCATCACAAGTACGTCGTTCATCCAAAGGTCGTTCCATCTACTACACCTGAATATTGTTTTTGACCGACTTATTCAAACATTTATAAACAGTAATTTCCTCAACCTACCAACCCCACTAATGTTGCTTATAATGTGCATGTACCTCATATATTTATATTACTTCACCAATATAAGTTATTATATAGCCTCCGACTAGTTATTTAACCTTTTGTTGCTTTCAGTACATACTAGACTCTGTAAAATGGTCTTCACTTTTATTATTAAAAATGTCTTTTCTCCTGCAACATGCAAAGTACTACAATACTATAAACATCCAATAATCCTTTCTCTCTGCCATTTATTTGACTTCCATTTAGAGTTTATATTCCCAAACCTGATAACTGCTTCTAGATAGTGCTACCCTTATGCAGTGCTATTGTCACTTTATCCCTTCACTCCATATTCACACTCCAATACATACTTTATGAAATTCCAACTCCACTAACTTACATTCCTCCTTCCCCATAGTGTTTGATATACACTCTATTTTTTCCTTTACCCTAACAGCAGTGAGAATGTCTGTTCTCTATGACAAACATTCTATATTTTAGCATAGAAATCTATGAACCTAACCGATTCTTCCTCTAGACACTCCTCTACACATGACATATCTTATGACTATCTCCAGCTGCAAGTGCTTCCCTTACTTCACCACACTCCTCTACACATATGACTATCTCCAGCTGCAAGTGCTTCCCTTACTTCACCACACTCCTCTACACATGACATATCTTACATCGATATATACCTATAATAAACCTATCTTCACCCATACTCCTACTTACCCATCTATTAACCACACAGTTTTAACCAATCGGCTAAACCTTTGGACTTAGCAATGAGAAAAAATAAATAATTCATAAATAACTAAAATACACAAATCCAAAGTTTAAATTTTTAACACAGATGAATGTAACTTAACCATGCTAAGTACTTTCCATCATTTATACATTGATTTTTCAGTGCATGTGGCAGATGCTTTGAATGTGAACAAGATACCAAGACTAATGGACTAATGTGTACAGTCTTCAGTATACAAAGTGGTCCTTGTAATCCTGGAAATGATTCAATTACTCATGATACTACATCAAGTCACCCACCTGAATGACTGCCAGTTAAAAAACAAACCAAAGCATTACAGATATAAATAATAAAAAGCATAAAAAAGTGGCTAAGAATAACAAGCACATCTTGCAGCTGTAACTACACTAGCTTCCCAATTTATTTATTGACTCAAACTGCAAAGTTATTTGCATGTCACCTGTTTCAGTTTCATGAGAGAGATTCTCAACACCACCACACCTCTTCCCCTCTGACTAGAACTTGTGTGAACTATCTTTGTAATCTATAGTGGTGAAACACTTGTTCCCCTCTGACTAGAACTTGTGTGAACTATCTTTGTAATCTATAGTGGTGAAACACTTGTTCCCCTCTGACTAGAACTTGTGTGAACTATCTTTGTAATCTATAGTGGTGAAACACTTGTTCCCCTCTGACTAGAACTTGTGTGAACTATCTTTATAATTTATAGTGGTGAAATGTGTCACATTTGCATACTGTTACTCTGCTTTATAGTATAAAATCTACACAAATTGTTGCAAAATATTCAAATACGTAGAAGCAAGTATTTAAACTGACATAATAAATTGTGCTATTCCATTTTCAAGGCAGATATTCAAAGTAGTGTAAATTATTTATATGAAGTTCAATCTTCATCCAAAAATGAGAGTACATGTATCTTTAGTTACCATAGCTGAGTGCACAAAATATGGACTCTGGAATAATATATCAATTGGACAGGTTAGGTTTATGGTTACTCTTTCACTTTTCAATGTGCCCTTTAGAATTACAATAGTACAAAACATAAAAGGAAAACAAAATTGTTGGGGGGGTACAACACTCCATATTTTGCACATTCCATCTACTGTAGCTGAAGATTCTATCATCTTTGAAGGATGGGATGGAAACAACACTCAGTACGACCATTATTACACTGCGTTTAAGTCATTATAATGCACTGCATAACTGAATGCTAGTCAAAATTCAATAACCATAAAAGTTATCTTCTTATTTATGTACAAAAAAGAAATATATCGTAAGGTCATTTAATATACCACTGTATTTTGATATGACCCTTCAAATCTTACCAGAGCTATCTATATTATACTAAACTATGCATTATTAAGACTGTAGAAGGAATGCAAGCTATTCATATAACTTAAAAAGACTGTTTACATACTTCAATGCTCAAGTACATTGGCAATTTTTATGACATAAGAGTTGAACACCCTCCACATAAAATATTGTTCCACAAAACATAAAATTCTTCATTAATTAATCAAAAACACTCCAAAGCTGCATGTTATTAAGCCATGCCATCATGCAAATATTCATTCTGTATGAAGTTGTCGACACATTTCCCAAACATACTGTACTTACCAGCTTCTCGTCTCCAGTTTTTGCAGACTGTGAGAATATAAAGCACAGCGTGGCTTGATAAGTTGGATAGAACAGATAGAATTTAAAAAGGAAAAGCTTAATAGCTATTGAAAAATTACTTAAGAGTATTGTATATCCATATCTACAGTGAAAGTTCATTCTCGATTCTCAACGTGAATGTCTATAATGCACTGAGGAGGAGTTGGATGGTATAAACATTTTGTATGATACATTCAGATATTGTTAGTTATATCTATGTATGTCTTTTCAGTTAATTTATCAGTGCAAAATAGACAATCACTACAACTATTGCTTGTATAACCACTAATATTTGAAGCCATGTTAGTGTAACAAGAAGGGTGGTCATCACTTTTCACAATGGTAAATACACCTTCGTGAACTCCAACACACAGATCAAAGTTTGTGGTCACACATGTGAAGCTTGTTGGTTGTCTGGGTGTAGGCTGAACCTGAGACACACAAGTCAACCATAAGCCCTCAACCTCCTTCAGTTGGACGTGCTTTACTTGTGACTGGTTGATGAGCAGCTACCAGCGGCCATAGCCAAGCACCTGCCAGGGGCATTGAGCTTCTAGCACCCTCTCTGTCACCTAACTTTACCACAATTCATAAAAGAAAAGTAGCGAAGCTTCAAAACAGAGAGGAGCTAGGACTCGCTAGTGTTGTGATAATTACCTTTTGGATATTCAAACTGCTTTTCCAGTGGTGAAATACCAATCAAAATGGCACACCACCACTGAATTGCAGATATATTGTGGCCAATCATTTTATAGTGAGGAAAAGAGTGGCTAGAGAGACTATAGGGATACAGTTGCCCCATGATGGTGGCTGCTGGTCCCGGCCTTCATGGCCTCTACTCTGTTGCTCACAACTGCACCCTCACCGCTTCTCCTTCACAGACATCACACCCAATACCCCACTTCCATCCTTCCAAACATCTGATCCATGCTGTTTTTTGTCCTTTCATATTTGTCTTTTTTCCTTCATTGCTTTTTTTTTTGTTATAGGATCTCTGTTTCATAGAGACATCTGGAGACAGGAAGCAGTTGTGAACACCAAAGGAGAAGCCGAGGTAACCTTAAACTCCTTACAAACTTACCCTCAGTTTGGGGTTCTTAAGTCTTTGGAAATAGCGCTCCAACTGAAACAAGGAAAAAGAATGGAGACCAATCATTATATACCAATTCATAATATTAAAATAAAAAAATTTAATTTTGAATTTTGAGAGGGCTGAAAGCTGAGAGGACTCCATGTCTTGGAGTCAGGCACGAAGGTTGGATCAAAAAAATAACTTGGTCATGAGACAAAAATGGCCTTTTATGTGTGTGTTTTTACTTCAGTTAATTGAAATTTTAGATATACAGTATATATATTATATACTGCATATACAGTATATATAAAGAAAGCAAAAATTCAAGCTGAGGGACAATGTTTTATCAAATATTAGAATTATGACAAGTGTCACTTCCCCAGTAAGTCCAGTAGCCCAATACAATTGGATAAATAATATATGTCTTGATAATAAACTCAAATGATCCAAGTCCCTCAAATGTCACTTCCAAAACATGAAGTATAAACAGAGCTTCCCCCAGAGCGGCCGAAACTCTCTCATTCTATCTTGCACACAGGTGTTGGAGAAATGCTCCGAGGCTGGAAATTTCAGTAAGTAATCTTTTTCTTTTGCACTGGGACTGGAGATAAAATAATTAATTTAAATATTTAATTTAACTTATGACTATTATAAATTAGCTTAAATAATATATTTTTGATAATTAAACAATAAAAATTTTGTTTGAAAATTGAAATACTTGTACAGTATATTAGAACTTAAAGAAATGAGTGAAAACAACAATATAAAACAGGTGCAAATCAATTAGAAATATATTTGCTGATATATAATGTACAATACAAAGGTAAAACTATTATTAAATTAATAAATTTTTGTAATTAAAATTATTTTATGGGTTTTGAGAATAAACACAGAATTCCAATATATACTGTACTGTATATAAACAAATTGACAACATTAAAGCTTATAAAGTACTCTGAGGGTTTGTGAGTCACCTCGGAACATTGATTATGTTAAGAAAGGAAGTTGTTCATATGCTTTGGGCAGGATGGGAATGGTATGGAGACAGGGACTAAGGTAGTCTCAGGGCTGAGGCAGGGGTCACTATAGCACTTGAGGATAGACATATATATATATATATACTGTACTGTATGTTATTGGCAGACTAAATACCTATACTGTACTGTATGTTATTGGCAGACTAAATACCTATACTGTACTGTATGTTATTGGCAGACTAAGAAAGGTTTATACTGTATAGTACTTGTGGAAAGAAATCTATGTAACTGTACATAAAAGCAAATGGTATAATCGAAAGAATAAAATCTAAATATGTATAATATACAAGTATAATATAATGTATGTACTGTACTGTAATATGTATAATATACAAGTATAATATAATGTATGTACTGTACTGTAATATGTATAATATACTGTACATATAAATCAAAGTGGATGAGAAAAATAAAACTGAGCAGAAATAATGTAGAAGTTAGCGGTTGTAATATAGGTGGGGTGAGGTGTAAGGTGCCGTAGAGAGACAAGAGGGAAGCTGCACGATGGTGACCATCAGTCACACACTACTACTACTACTACTACTACCAACTACACCATAATAACAATAAATGTAATTGAAACAACCAGAAGTAAATAACAAAATGCAAGCAGTAAATAAATGCTAATATGGACTAAAAACAATATTGTCTTGATGAAAACTGTGAAGACCAAAGATATGAATGGGAGATAAAGCCAGGAAAAGCACAAACTTATACTGCAACCTGTCCTCACACTTAATGTGCTCAAATTAGATGCCATCAATTGCATTCACTTACAAACATGGTTGCTGATTCATGGAACAAATTACTAGGTAACATAATGGATGTGGGATCAATTGACTGTATCAAGTGTAAGTTAGACATATGCTACATATGAGAGAGTTTGGCTGGACATTAACAGGAGCTGCCTTGTATGGGACAACAGGCCTTCTACTCTTTACTTAATTCTTATTCTTGTATATTATTATTATTATGAACCTTTGCTGAAATTAAAAATACCACAATATTGACACTTCCTCAGACTACTGAACATTATCTTCAATAGATTATATGGGTTTCAAGTTGGGGGGAAAAACCACTTCAGATTTGAGGCTTGTCAAGGTGATGAGAACGGGCTGTGTACAGAGTGAAAGAGTAAGGCTGGAATGCTACTAGCAGCCAGTATAAGTCAGGCATCACTCACAAGACACAACACTTTATAGCAGCATCAAGCAATGTCTTAAACATTAAAATACAGTACCCCAAAACACAAAAATAGATCAAAGATTAACAAGAAAATATAATGTCAACTATTAGAAAATACTGAATAACTTAAAATACATATACTGTACTGTACTGTATTATGAAATAATATAAAGCATTCTCCAACATGAACATTTTCTGATAAATACGTACAGAGCAGCCAGAATGAGTGACCAACTTGAGCTGCACTCTTAGATACAAACCAGTAGCGTGTTCATCCTCAAATGGTTAATAATCAATCTAAGATACAAACCAATAGCTTGCTCATCCTTAAATGATCAATATTCAATCTAAAATTAGCCTAAAATTAACCATTTGTATTTTATCAACATGTTTTACAAAGCTGTCATCTGGAAAATTTACAAACGTAGACTTATCAAAGCAGTCATCTGGAAGCCTTACAAAACTGTCATCTGGAAGCCTTACAAAACTGTCATCTGGAAGCCTTACAAAACTGTCATCTGGAAGCCTTACAAAACTGTCATCTGGAAGCCTTACAAAACTGTCATCTGGAAGCCTTACAAAACTGTCATCTGGAAGCCTTACAAAACTGTCATCTGGAAGCTTTACAAAACTGTCATCTGGAAGCCTTACAAAACTGTCATCTGGAAGCCTTACAAAATTGTCATCTGAAAGCTTTACAAAGCTGGCCTCATGGAAAATTTTCAAATGGAGGTTTTTCAACACAGTTCTATCATCTGGAAGGTCCACACAGCTGTGATTTAGAAATTTTTCAAACAAACCCAGCCTCTCCACACAATCTGGACTGTAAATGTTCTGGGCTCCCCAGGCAACTTGTGGGCTTGTGGGGGCACTCAGGAATGCAAAATTTTTTACATTCATTTGACATTTTCTAACTTATTGTTCGATTATAACGATAAATTACTGTACCGTATTTTCTGGTGTAAAAGACGCACCCCTATTTTACAAGGATTTTTTGTTGAAAAAACGATTTTAGTATGTTTCATCATACATTTATTGGAAGATATTTTAAAGTGGATTTTCTACCCCCAACTCTTACCTCCTCTAAGATCAGCTGTACAGTTGTTTATATTTTGGGCAAGAAAATTGCTATACATGATGTGAAACTTGTATTTCTGGATGTGATGTTTTGTGTTGCCGCATCTGTCCACCAGGGTGGCGGACCCGGCAGTGACGTACCATCACAGCTCTCTGGTTTTGTTGTCATTCATGCATTGCAAATGACTGACAGGCAGATAAAGAGTTTAACATTCCTTTCAAATTTCTAGAAGCATTTTTCATTTGGATAATGAATAAACGTTTCTTAAAGGAAACACAGTCGTTAAATAATGTATGACATATCAGGCATGGGTTACGTATGCTGGCTTAGGTAGCGAGATGTTATCAGCTTCCTTCATAACTGCCAATGTATCTTGCGCAATTTTTCGTAACTTTGTGATAAAAGACTGTGATAACTCGGCCTGTTTTCAATATTTTATTATTAGCAATGATTTTTGTACCTAGTGATCTTAGCCAGTATGCTCATCGGGCTCCCTAGCCTGTGGCACTCGGTCTCACATCCATAATACGGCCGCATTACATGCATGGCAATTTTTTACATTTAAAAATAATAAAAGCGCGTCTTATATGCTGGCAAATACAGTAGGTGTCAAAATGTCTGCAAATGAATTGTTTAGAGAATAGATGCAAAAGCAAGAGTGTATTATAATAGATTTTGGTCATCTCTATACATTGCAAAACAAACGTAGCATGCTCAGCAGGTCCAGCTTATCAATGCTTAAAATGTTTTATAATCATTTCAAATTTTCTTGGTTATTTCTTGGATTATAACTATAGATTTGGTGTCAAAATGTTTACAAATTAATTTTCTAGAGAACAGATTCAAAAATGAAATTGTGTTTCTAATAGATTACATGTGACAACAATGAATATATGAATGTTCATGAATAGCAATCAAATGACGCATTTTAATCATGAGAACGTTTACTGCCAGAGTACCAATGACACTAAAATCCATTATTGGAACATGAAAGTATTAATTATCTTGGAGCTGCTAAATATCAGGAACAAAATAGTTGTAATGGCGTACTATAACTTTCTGACAGTCAGCCTCGTCTTTGCCAACTCCCAAAATATGGCCAATATTTTTCTCTTATGCTTATGAAATACATACATTTTATAATCTACTTTATTATTTATATTATTTTTATTTGTTTTGTCATATTAGAATAAATAAAATGGATTTAGTATACACAGCTCCATTATGTAATACGTGTATGGGTACCAGCAGTACCAGGCACTTGTTTCACATCCTGCACACACTTGCTTCACAACCAAAAGGTCCCGGATTAGATTCCTGCAGCAGAACCCAGATGTTTGAACAGGTTTCATTTCATACCTCTGTTTACCTAACAGTAAATAGGTACCCAGGCTGCATCCTCGGGAAGGTCAGTAGTAGACTTAGGAGGACCTCGATGAGCCTGACAGGTTTCCTGCCCCAGATAATGGGAAACCATAGTTGAACTTGAGAAAGATTGTGGTCTAATTTGGCAGTAATTGTAAGTGACTTCAGCTGCTTTTCAAATACTCAAGTTTTATTTTCTTTTTAACACTTTCATGCTCTGGGTCCCTAAAACCACCTGGGATAGTAGGGCTAGCGCCCCACTATCTCGGGTGGCTTTGGACCTTCCATGGGAGCGCGCCGTAATACTGGAAAGTGTATACTCTTTTCAACTTTGTCACCTCAATTCTTGTCCTAGGTTTTTCAATTTTGTATCAATGTGTTTGTAA